AAGGTGAAAAAGAGGATGAAGAGATGGGGAGAAAAAGGTTAAAGCATTTTATTTCCCTAGCTCTTCTCCTAAATTAAAAGTTAAACATTCTTTGCTTTACCCTAGATTTGCCCCAAATTCTAGTAAGTACAGCCTTCCATAACTCTTAAGTCTTTTCAAATCAAATACCAACTTCCTTCATCTGCTGAAGTGTCCAAAAGGCAATTTTTTTATTTGAAATGCCAGAAATACATTAGATTAGTTAAGGAAAGGGAGGGGTAGAATACAAATATAAATATGCAAATAAAAATTAATAGTTGATCACCCTAATTAAAAGCATGTCATTACCTCTCATTTGCACGAAATAATTAGTTAAGACAGAAAAGTGAAGACTAACCAAATTACTCAGTATGTAGATATATATTGCCACAACATACAAAGGTCCTACTCTAGGAATAGGGAAAACACATAGGCTTGTCCTTCTTATATTTGTAGTTGTACTTTATGGTTTACGAAGTACTTTAACACACATTACCTCTCTCCAGCTATGCAGCAACCAGCAAGGCAAGTAGAAATGATCTACATTTTCCAGAGAAAACTAGACTCCAAGAAGTTAACTAAGTTGCCCGATACTCACAGACCTATCAGAGACCTAAGGATGAGCATATCTTGTGACTTCCAGTGTTACTATATTAGCAGTTACATTTTAGCAATTTATTTATTTGGTGGGGGCTTCCCTGGTGGCTCAATAGTAGAGAGTCTACCTGCTCAGCAGAAGACCTGGGTTCGATCCCTGGGCCAAGAAGATCCCCTGGAGAAGAAAATGGCAATCAACACACTCCAGTATTCTTGCCTGGGAAATCCCATAGACATAGGAGCCGGCGGGCTACAAAGTGTTGCAAAGAGCAGGACACGACTTAATGACTAAACAACAATTTATCTGGTGGTGGAGAGCTTGTGGAAGCAGTACCATCCCTTTTATAAATGAAATCTTATATTGAACCTGAACTGTGAGACACATAAATACACTAAAGGGCTTTCATAAGTGTTTAATTATAAACTAACAAATACTGATAATAAGTTTGTGTTCACACAAATGAAAATTGATCTTCAGCAGATATGTAGAGGAAGGTTTTTCTAAAGGCCCGTGCCTTCATAATCAATGAGTCTTTCTCATCAATGTCTTATTAGCAAAAGTGTTCAAATACATGTACAATGGGAGCAGAACAAATTTTTCAAGACCTGCACAAGAACAGTCTTGTAATGAAAGATTTTGGGGTAGTTGTAATTTTGTACTTAAAATTTAATCCAATTCAAACATTTTTGAATACCGAAGCATCATAGGGCTCCATAAAAAGCAGTCTGAAAACCACCGCATAATGACTTGCTGTCATAAATTCACTTGCTTGCTCTCTGCTTGGCTCATTTTGAGATAAAACTAAAACCTACTTTGACAATCCAAAAAATGTATATAAGAAACCTGATTAATCAAAACAAAATATGATTACTATTTCACAGTCAAAGCAATACCACTCTTTTGGTTGAACCATATAAAACTGCCATTAACTGACAATTTTGACCATAAAAATAAGGTTCATATGGTTTAAACTAATATTTCTCATTTTATTTTCCCAGTCTCTTCACTCATAAAACTATCAAAAAAAATTGTAAAAAATAAAGATATATAAGCAAAATGGAAAAAGTACAATATCCAACAACAACAAAAATCACTGGAACTACCTAAACATATTAAGCATTTTAAAATGTTAAACCCTCTAACATAATGTGCAGAGTTTTATTCACTTCAGTAGCACTAACTGCTCAACACTCAAAATACATTGTCATACGCCCCCTTTTATTTACTGGAGGATGTGTGGGTTGACAGTTACCTACCTTTCTTAATGTAGACTGGCACTCCACTTTGAAATGTATCTAGTTATCAGTGGAATTTCTTCAAGCAAAACCTATAACACTTCCGAACTCATCAACTTTTCCAAAGTAAATAGAAGCATTTCCTTTTTCATTAAAAACTTTATTGAATTATTTCATTGATAACAGAGCAAGTCAGAATAAGTAGGAGTTAGATTTGAAGAGAGTTTTGTTTCTTCATTTCTTTCCCTATCTGGTTTACCTCTCCATTCTTCCCACTGACCTAGGGTTACCAAATTAGGTATATTCAATACTTGAAGAAGTCTCTCTTTTTTTGGAAGACATTGAATCAAAATCATAAAGGTACTTCTAAGAATAAAAGTGATTCTCATACAACACACAATTCAATTTTCAGATATTGGGTTGAACCAAATCACTTACTTTAATGGAGAATCCAGTTCCTTTGTAAGTTCCCCCTCAAGTTCAATACATTGCAACAAATGAAGCCACTTAAACAAAAAGGCCTCATGCCACATAAATAAAGGTGATTCTTTCCCCATCATTAGTGAGGATTATACAGCAAAGAGTAATTCACTCTGGGTGTGCATGAGTTTCATTCTTCCATCATGAACTACACTGAACTAAAATTCAAAATGCTGTGACTCACATGGTTATTACCAAACACAATATTAAATGGAAAACACAAGATAAATCCAGAGAATCCCATTTTGAGAGTTACAGATGAATTTTGCTTAGTTATATACTTTCTATGAAAAAAAGAAAACCCATTTCTTTATTAGAAAAGTCTTACATGCTATTTTTAGAATGATAAAGAATTTAAAATGCTAAACACTTGATATCTTTTAAGAGCACTTAAGGCACTCTTAAAAAGCTACAAATGTTGCCAAGTCATGTCATAACTGGCTCAAACAATCCCATTCCCATCTAAAGTTATTTCATGCTACTGCATGAATCAATATTAAATACCTTGGAGTTACTAAAAACTGGAAATTGGCATAGATGTGCACAGCAATTGTAAGATATGAAAATGGTGAATATTCATTTTCCATATATTCTCTCTTTTAATAATAGGAGGAGGTTTTCCTTCTAGGTAAAAAAAAATAATAATTTCTTAAAAGCTAAAGAATCCGTCTGCAATGCAGGAGACTCCGGTTCGATCCCTGGGTTGGGAAGATCCCCTGGAGAAGGGAAAAGGCTATCCACTCCAGTCTAGAGAATTGCATGGACTGGTCGCAAAGAGTCAGACACAACTGAAGGATGTTCACAAGAGAAAGATAAAAAGATATCTTGAAAGCTAGCAAAATGTCATGGATCGTAGCCTTGGTTCTCTCAAAAGAAAAACAGATTTTCAAACTTTAATACTACCTTCAAACATTTTATTAGTCTACCAAATTGCCAGAATCATTACCAAAAAAAAATCCAAGGTAATACAGGTCTTTCCCCCCCTTATTCAGTTAAAAAAGAAAAAGCTGCTTTTTTAAACCAGGCTTGAGTTTAATCAAATGTGTCTCAAAAAACACTTTTTTCATATTAAAGACATAACATCACTTTTAAAGCTGGAAAATCATCATCATCATTTTTTAAAAAGCTAAGTTCAGATGACATCTGACCCAGAAATGAAAGAGTTAACATTCAACTAAGCTGCTCTGCACTTCTGATCCTTTACATTTCTCACAAGCTGCCCTACAATGAGCTGAGCAAGTATCAACTGTAATTTGATCCCGGAGTTTATGGAAAAAAATAACTGCACATACTCAACATGCACATTTAATAAAAATCTGTTTCAAGAAAAACATACCCGATAAACACAATTTAAGGCATATTTAACTGTTTGATTAACTTTAAATATGCTAACCCTTTGCTTTCTTCATGCTCTCAAATAAAACTGGGGGCGGGGGGGGGGGGGGAAGCAGCGGCTCTACTGCAGGGAAAAGAGGCTTGAAAAACAACTTTGATTGGCACTTGGCCTGACCCACAGAGGAAGAAAAACAGTTTTTGGACAAAGAGCGCAAATATTTGAGCTTGCTTACTTACATGTTTCTTTCTTTCTTTTTTTTAATATAGAAAGAACAATCTCAATTGAACTGTAGTTAAAGAAATTGACTAAAAACGGTGCCGTATTCATCTTAGCCTTTCAGTCCCGACGCATTTGCACAGCTCAGCAATTTTAATTCATTTGTACTGGACAAACAGAAGCACCTCAACTACTGTTTCCACTTAATGAAATGTTAAAATAGTCTCGAGAAGAATAAGCTAATTATAATATAACCCAGTGGCGGCTGTTAAAGTCTGATTAAAAGCTTTTCTCGCTCTAAAGCGACATCTTTTCATACCGCACCACCCCCACCCCCGCCCCAACCCTTAACGGAGCGATTAAGCCAAGTGAGCTAAACAAAACTGGAGTAAACTTTCTATCAGTCACTCTGGGAAGCAATAAACTGATTGCGCGTCTGATTTTTCTGGAGCAACACCGGGTGCGGGGGATGGGGATGGGGTGGGTAAGCGCTAAAAAGGGACAACTCAAGTCCACCCTCGTCTCCACCTCCCCCAGCCCCAGCTTGAGGAACTGTAACGTCGAACAGCGTTTCCCATGGGCATAAAGTTCAAGCTGCTTTACCAGTTTCCTTCGGGATCGACCCGGAGCCACAAGACGACCATCAAAAAGAAGGTTAAAAAAAAAAAAAAGAAGAGTATTCGGGTAGAGCGTGCAGAAGCAAAAGCGAAATAAACAAAAACAACACCCGCAGGAGTTAGGCACAGCCGAGAGGGAACCAGGTTCCTCTGAACCAGACCAGTTCTGATTTCACACCGACTTGCACCCAGAACACCGGGAGGAGGACCGAACAGGTCCGTCACCCCTCCGCCCGAGGAGCGGGAATGGGGGTGGGGGGGTGGGGCAAGGTAGCTAGGTGAACGGAGAGACGGGCTGCAAGCAACCTCAAACCCCCGACCCCCAAGCCCCCAGCCCCGGGGGCCGGCGCTGCCCCGGCAGGAATCAAAAGCCCAGCAGGCTAACGCCTCCGCTCGCGGCTCAGGCCCCCTTCTGGGGGTCCGGCGGAGGGGCCCCGGGGTCCCTCGGCCGCCGCGAGCAGGAAGCGCCCCTCGGGGCCGGCCCCAGGCCGAGCCCGTACCTTCCGCAGCACTTTCCGGCAGTTGGTACAGAGCAGGTAGCTGGCGGCGGCCGACGGGCTGCTGCCGCCGCGGTTCATCGCGGACCTCCGCGCCCTGGCACCGCCCCCTCCCGCCTATCGGGCCGCCCTGGCCACGCCTCCCGGCGCCAGACCGCAGCCAATGAGTGGCTGAAGCCGGCTGAGGCGCGGCGCCGGCCAATCACAGACGCCGAGGACGCCTCGAATCTCCGGGCAAGTTAAGTTTGTCTCCGAGGTTCCGACCTGCAGGGAGACGGCGGGTTAGTTCGGTAACCGGGTGGGAGGGAACCGAGTTTGTGCTGCTACGCCAATAGGAGGAAAGGGGTGTGTCATATGCAAATAACCCCGTAAAACCCGGCCCCTCCCCTAAGGCCAGCCACAGCCCCTGCGCTAGGTCCGTGCGTAAACGGGGAGGGAATGAGATAAATAGCTGGGAGCTAGAGCTCGCTGGAGGGTCTAAGACTCGACTAAATGTTTCTTGATTTCTTGAGAAAGACGGTGGGGATGGGGGGGGAGCTAAAAGGTTCATTCCGATCCACCAGGGTAGTGGTTAGGCTTTCTCTTAGCGAGAATCTTAGCTGGAAAGAAGACTGCAGTCCTGTAAGCAGTTGGCAGCCAAGGATCTCAAAGAACTTTATGCATCGCTTATCCTTGTTTTGCAGAAGACCTAAAGCTTCGGCAGCGGGTGGGGGATAGATGTTTAACTACATTTACACCATTAGTCGGTTAGGGGGAAACAAAAGACTGAAAACCTGTGGGTTAGCGGTTTCCTCCTCCATCTAAAGCCCCTTCTCGTCGTAGTCTCTCAGCAACGAAAATTCTTTTATTTGTTCAGCTCGCAAAGGCCAAAGACACAGGTTTGTGTTCCACCCCAAAGTCCTTCTGGGGCAGCTGGTTAGATAAACGCAGAGCACGGAGCCATGACTGGGAACGAAGCTTCAGAGAACAAATTGTCATTTAAAGCTGTTGGGCTAGACCTGCCTCTTGCAAAGCTACAATTGAATTCGGGATTTTGATGTTCACGCTCTGGGGACAGAAAGCAGATGTAACTGGGGGAAGCTCAGGCTGGCAGGGTGTGGGGCGGACAGGCAAGTGGGAGAGTACGGTCTCCGGAGGGGCTAGCAGCGCTCATGCTGGTTGAAGGCGGGTTCCGACGCGAGACACCCCGAAACCTCCTCCCCCGTGAGAACAAAGGCAGGTGCCGAGCGAGAGCCTGGTTGGTGCCGGGCGCTCCCCGGCGTCCTCCGGGCCCCGGAGATTTCTTGCTCTGCCCACTGGAGCCGGGTTCCGTGCACACTGGAACCCCAGCTCCCCACCCGGCCCTGGCTGAAACCACACAGACTGTGCGTTATGACATCACCTGTTTTCGCGCTGGAGAACGCGATCGGTATTCTCGGCTTCTGCTTTTCTTAAAGGTCGCTAGCGTACGAGGATCTGTGAAGGCCTGCAGTTGGCTGAATGAATCTGTGGAGATGATTTACATGAACGATTTCACTGGTTTGCATTTCTCTCTTTTCTTTCCTTTCTTTTTTAATTTAAAAAACTATCCTGGTTTCCTTAGGGATTCAGTGTGGTGTTGTGATGCAAAATCAGAAAGGTACACTTGGAGGAGCTAGTAAGTTTAGCATATCAAAGCTATTAGACCAAATTATGTGGTTAAAACTGCCAATCTCCTCATTTTTCGACAGCTGCCCCCTCTCTGTCCCTTTTAGAGACCAACGGGCATAAACCCAGTCTACACAAGGAACAAAGGAAATGGAAATCTGCCAGTGTCAGGTTTAAATAGATTAAAATAGACTGGAAAACCCCCAAAGGGTCTAAGTGATGTGGTGGGGTAAATGTGTTGATCCATTTAACCAGTGAGAGCTAAAGTTCTCTTGGTGTTGTGTGGATTTATACAGCCTAGCAGAGCAATGGCGTGAGGAAGGTGTATAACATTGTTAGAAGAAACTAGAAGATTCAGCAGAGGGAGAAATGACTTCCACACACTTCAATGCAGAGAACCAAGAAATTCAGGGAGAAAGTTAGGAAGGCACAGTTGTCCTCAGAACTGAAACACATATGTGTCCCCATTTAGTGGTACATTTCTTGAGTTATATTCCTGGCTTGGAAAGCAGATTTTATGTGAATACATTTTAAAGGCAAGTTGAAATTAAAGGATGAAATGAATTTTTGTGCAGAGATTGAATTTTCTCAAACAATATTTTAGCTTCAAATTACTTTCTATCATATACTTTTTATATCCTTTCCTTTTATTTAATAGCTAAAATTCTTTCACAGTGAAGTCCCTTAAGTTCTTCAATAACTCAAAGAGGAAGGCCAAGAGAGGTCAGCCCCATACAATTATACCTTCTAACAAAGATTGCTAAAAGGAGGTTTTAGAAGAATCTCTTCGTTGATTCATGGTCATGTACATGTATGTGACCAAATGATGCCCCTCTCCTCCAAAGTTTTATAAAATTGTCTACACTGTCATTTATTTGGCAGTCAACCATGTAACATTTCTCTTATTGAATCATGATATATATGTAATATTTCTTCTATTAAACCACAATATATGTTTGTGTCCCACCTCTGAAATTTCCAATCCAGTAACTCATTCTCAATATACAATGACCATTCCTCTGGTTTCTCACACCCTCAATTCCATCATCCATCTCCGCTCTCCTGGTAATGCTCAGCTTCTGGACTCTTCTTTTCTTTTCCATCCCTCACCTGGCCTCTCTTTCTTTCCCAGCCAGCCTGGATTCTAGGAGACTGTGACTTAGAAAACAAGTGACTTGCAAATCCTGGACCACATTGTTAGTTAGAAAGAAGGAAACAAAAGCCCATTCTTTGAACTTCCTACAGAGCAAGGAAAAACTCCACCCCTTTCGTTGTCTGGTTGTCTAAAACAAGAAAGAACTTTAGGAAAGTAAGACAGCGGTGAAAATTAACAACCAATGTTGAGCACTCCTTTTTAAGTTTTTAATTACAAATTGAGAATGATACTTCGTTAAACATTTTACACCATTTAAAAATAATTTTTGCTTGTTTTGAACTATTTTTTCAAGTGTGACCTTTTTTTTTTCCTAGTCGTACATAAAATCACATGGCTTGGATGTACCGTAAATTATTTAACCATTACTCCATTATGGAACATGTAGATTATTTCCAGTTTCTCGTGATTATAAATAATACTCGGATAAGCTTCCTTATATGTAAGTTTCTGGCAGCATCTTTGATTCCTAGATATGAAATTTCTAACCAGAAGGATGTGAATATGTTTTAAGACTCTTGATATAATTTACTAAAAGGTTTTGTGGAAAGATTTAACCAATTTGCACTCAACTCACCATAAGAAGGCTTCCCAGGTGGCTCAGTGGTAAAGAACCTGTCTGCCAATGGGGGAGACACAGGTTCAATCTCTGGGTCAGGAAGATCCCCTAGAGCAGCAAATGGTAACCCACTCTCCAGTGTTCTTGCCTGGGAAATCCCATAGATAGAAGAGCCTGGTGGTCTGTAGTCCATGGATCCTGAAGAGTTGGACACAACTGAGCGCGCGCGTGTGCGCACGCGTGCACACACACACACACACACACACTCAATGAATAAGCACAGAGGGGAGAGATCTCTTGGTAGATTAAGCATTTGTCAAAGCATCCTTTCCTATACTTCTTCCTTAGCATCAAACTCAATACTGAAATGACTGGTTCAGATTCTATTTTCTCATTAGACTGTGAACCCCTGAAGGGCAGGGAATGGACTGCATTCACTTATTCACTCCCAGCTCCTAGCTCAACCCATTTTAAGAGAAATGCTTTAAAAATCTTGGAGAAAATAAGGAGTTTTCACTCTGACTTTTCTCAATATACTGTAAGTCTAGGGCATCTCTTTTTAATCTCTAATAATAGCTACAGGATCTTACAAAAGGATCCCAACACATATCTGTGAATTAAATGGTTCAAAACGACTATTGCTGCAAAGCAGAGATTGGATTCATGTCCTTACCTGTCACCAAGTCCTTCTTGACACTGAACATCATGATCATAACTGAGGTTGCTCTCTCTCTTATAAAAAGAAAGTTCTTACCACAAACCAAGAGTATAAGGAGAGAGGGTTGGGCACATTTTTCTGTTCAGCACTTTTGAAAGAAGATACTGTGTTAATAACATGCTGTGACTTTTGGACTTGAAATTGTTTACTTCTCTAGATAGTCTCATTCTACTGACCTAAGAACTGGGCCCCTTTATAGTTCCTAAATAAGGATTCAATTGAAAAAATAAATTACTGAAGATATTTTAAAAATTCCAGTTCTGGAGACAATAGGTCATTTTCAATATTTTGCCTTCTCAGACTTCTTTGTCTTTCCCCGGGGGGCACCCAAAGCCTTGGATTGCAGGGCAAGTACTGCATTATTTACAAATTTGCAAATACTGTAATTTGTTTTGTGCACAAAGGAATTCACACAATTGTAAATTGATTGCTCCCTTTGAGCTGTTAATTAGATTCCTGCTAATTTTTCCTAGGGCCCAAGACCAGTACTACTCCAAAAGAGGAATTAAAAAGATGCGAGCCAAAAGCTGCACTGCTTGAGTGCCCCTTCCCTTTCCACCCTCTCCATCGGCCACCTCCACCAGGAAAATTATTCTCACCGAAGCTCATTTTCCAAAGAAAAAATATTCCATCAAGATCTAGATTTCTGCCAGCTTTCTCTTCTAACTTCCCCTTCCAGAGTTTCCTGCATTAAACTCTGTAGAAAGCAGACTGCAAAGGAGAGGCCTACAGATGTGGGCTTGTTATTGTTTGGCCTGTAAATGTTAGCCAGCACAGTCATTTTTAACACTGAATTACTTAAAAATACTTGTTGGAGGAGATTTTTGCCGCCACCCCCACCCCCACCCGCCAGCAAGTCTAGATTTCTGGTGTCTCTTGAAAAATGGTTAGATCTGGTTACACTGGATGTATACTGGTATATGGGCACCATCTGCTGGAGCCCAGTACCTGTTATCTGCATTTGGACATGCATTTTCTAGTTTACCAACGTCTCTGTCGCTCTTCGGGGTTCCATTTCGCCACTTTATGT